TCTACTAGATCTCTACAAAGCTAATTGAACAAATCATTCTAAAGAGAATAATCAGTGATTTATCACATTCATACACCGATGGGACACACATCGGAGGCTATGAGGGGTTCAGTGTCTTGCCCAGGGACACTTCGGCATGTGACTGCTGTGGGGTTCAAACCCCCAACTCTTGCATTGGAGGACGACTGCGCTAACCACTCAGCCACAGCCGCCCATGGCTTCCCTTCTGTCTGTAACACCCAAAACTATTAGGATAATAAATCATTGTAATGCCAAATTGGGCCGTTTTTGAGTCATTAGCGTTACGTTTTGTTTACAATTTGAGTTACACCCTGTGCCTCCTACACTCAGTCCAAGGGTTGTAAAATGACCTTTTCATTCAATCTTTGAAGGTCTTTTGCAAAAATACATTTGTATTTGTTTTATGCTTCTAAATGTTTATATCCCCATATTTCTGATATTCTACAAGAATATCTATAAGAATATATTCTACAAGAGTATTGATCTCATTCTATCAAAGAGGAAAAAAGCCTAGTTAGTTTACCTTATACCTCCTAATAAACCTTAAAAGCAAAAAACGTACTTTTTCAGTCTGCTGGCACAAAGACTGTCTGGTTATCCACCAAGTTACTGTATTTTTCACTGTATAAGTCACACCTTTTTGCATAAAGTAGCATGCCCTGCGACTTATACAGCAAAGCGACTTATTTATGTTTTTTCCCATATTTATAACACAATTTTTGGCTGAGATCTGACGATTTCATTCATTCAGGCATGAAAAATATTGAACACTACCATTTTCAGCCGCTAGAGGGTGCTCGAATAATATGGCAGTGTCTCATTAATAGGTAAAAGTGGCTATAAATGAGATGCTTGGCTTGCCAAACAAAGCCACTTTCGTCTCGTTCCGGAACTCCTGGAGCAAACGTCAAATCAGCTTAATTTCGCCACGACGCCCAGGAGAAATGCAGCTGATTTGACCATTAAAGTGCATTTATTAAGTAAAAGTTCAACTGAGACACACCTTTACTATAATTTTGAGCAAACAATTGTTTTTAAGTGTTGATCTTATTAAATTCTTGTTAAAGTCCTCCCGTGCACACTCCTGCAGCTACAATTTGGCAGCCAATCGATTATTGGCACAACACTGGCCCACATTTCCGGGTTATCAGTGGTGACGTATAACAAATGTGACGCGTCAGCAGTGATGTATAATAGATGCGACTTAAACGGTGAGGCGACGTATTTATGGTTTTTTCCACTTTATTAGACATATTTGGACTGATGCGACTTATACGGCGGTGTAACATGTATGGCAGCAAGTACGGTAGTTTTGGAGTAAACCATGTAAGCTAGAATTCATTTCTAACCCGAGCCCTAAGCCCGGCACCACCCGACCCGAATACGGGGCGGGCCGGGCCATGATAATGTGCTGGATAGGCAGGCCAGTCATTGTCGGGCTTTTAATTGGGTCAGGATCAGCAGCAATCAAACTATAGGATAACATGGCCTGCCATACAATCACCAGCCGCATGCGGCCATTTCACCGTGAGCTGACTGGCCCTGAAAGAGGTAAAAGTTCAGTTAAGCTTCAGATGGGACTACACTGCCTGTAAGTGATCCATCGCCCAAATGGATGTTCATTCAGCTGCTGCATTCAGTGGACGCGCAACCGACGACCCAAACAGGTGAGATCATAAAGCAGACGTGTCAGAGCAGGGTCCGTGTCCATGACAGGACAAACACCACCTCAGCTTCGATCTTCTGCCCCTTAATTCAGCCGCGCGTCTCCAACCGTTAATAACTAATTAAAAATGTTGGGGGGGGGGGGGGGGGTCTAGGTTCGGACCTGTAATTACTATTATTCATCGGGCCGGGTGGGGTTCGGAAATGATGACTGCGGGCTGGGGCTGGGTCGGATCGGATTTTTTGGGCCTGAATGCAACTTTAATGTAAGCCCACTTCAAAATGGTTGAATGATCCTTTAACATACAGCGACTGGGAATGAAGGCCCTCTTGATAACATCACACAAAGCACAAAAAGTATTTTTTGTCGACTACAGGAAGCTGCTCCAACTTGTCCTCCAATCAGAATCTTTTTCCTGATTTCTAAGAAGAGGCTCTGAGCAGAATGAGACAAGCTCCTTAGCTTCACGTTCCCCATCAGTGATTTAAACTAATTTCTCTGTCGTATAACTGTCAAATACAACATCTGATCTGCTTCTATACAACGCTTCACCATCTGTTATTCCCCGATTACAACAGTGTTTTGGAGAAACTCTCCTGAGCTTGTCAAAGTTTCGGCAGCATGTTTTTAAAAGCACAACGTTTTCATTGTGTTTCCAGTAGTTGTGATTCATGATAAATCAAGCAGCTATGTGGTAGAAAGGAGCGCACAGAGTCACAAATTAGTGTGAACCCATGGCCAATGACAGGAAGAAGACACTTTCACTTCTCTTCAACAAACCAGTTGAGTGTTACGTCACCCATTGGCCAGTGGCATCCAGCCCTCCCTGCTGGGGGAGACTTACCGACTGTCCGAGCTTTCCCAAATTGTCCAGGAAATACTTGACCGACTCGCCCTGAGGACACAAAGACAGAAATGTTACTTCAGTGGAACGTAAACTGAAAGTACATTGGTTTAAAAAATATTCATGCCAGGAATGGTTTGTGCTTTTACTGTGGTCATAAATCAGTCATGGTCAGCATCAATTGCTTTTCTTTACAAAAATATAAAAATAAAATAAACTAATGACAAACTGAAGTCAAATTTCAACAAAAAAAAAATTTTTTTTTCAAGTAACAAAACAGTTAAATGATTTAAAAGCAAATGAAGATGTTACCAAACATCCTTTCTGAACACATCTCGCATGTCAAGGACGAAAAGAAAAGTTAAACAACGCTCAAGACTTGTTTAAATTGAATCAAAGTAATTAATTTAGTTATGAACTAGATCAGTTCTGAAAACTAAATGTTTTAGTTGATCTCCTGAGGCAAAATGTGAAATAGTTTATTAAAGGGTGAATTTAAAATGAAAACTAGGGAATTAAACTGTTTCCCTAAAGTTCAACTTGATTTACAGCAGACAATGCATCATAAAACGTTGGTTACGTACTGTAACCCCAGATTCTATGAGTATAAGCGTAGCCCTTTAAGGCTGTCGCTTAGTGGGTTTTATCCCGTCATGCGAAGCATTGCACTGAAAAATTTAGTCCACGCCCACCTGCTGTATGGGCCCCACCCAGTCCGCATAAATTACGTTAAGAGTGGGTAATCGGCTCCCAAATAGATTTTTCTTCAGCCACTTAGGAGACAGTGAGGCCAGACGCTTAAATGGCTACGCCTATACTCATAGAATCTGGGGTTACAGTATGTAACAAACGTTCTATTTCGTATAGGCTTGGCCCTTTACGGCTGTCGCTTAGTGGGTTAAGGGCGAAGCGGATGTAGTCCTCGCTTCACTGGGTCCATTCGAACATCATATGAAGCGGAAGCTTGCCCAAAAACGTCTTGTCACTCAGCTCTTCATGTGCATAATTACGCGTTGCGTAATTATGTGTACCATGCACAAACGCATGCCGTGTAACTATGCGTTCTGAATGCACGAACGCCCCGGAAAAGTTTCAACGGGGAGGAAAAATGCTGAAAGGAGCCATGAACCAACCGGTTCATGGCTGAACAGTATGAACAGATTGATAATAACAAGTGAGTTGATTATTAATCAAATGAACTGATTGGTAACAATAGTCATGAACTGATTAATGACAATAGAACCAAAATAACAGTCACAACTTGTGACTGATAATATCTCACACTGTAAATGCATGCAAACAGATGTGAGTTAAACGGGATTCCATGAAAAACAATATTCATTCTGTTAAGGCACTAAGGACAGAATGTGTCATGGAACGAGCAGTCACATCACGTAAATAGAAACGAATACTTGAGCAGGGTGTTGCCCACGCGGCCGCAGTGCAAATATCCTGCATTGTCATACCATTATGCAAAGCAGTCGAAGATGCGATACCTCTGGTCGAGTGTGTCCTGAGGTTGTCAGGAGGCTCTAAATCTGATGCTCTGTAGGCTTCAGAAATGGCCTCACACAGCCAGTGTGACAGGCGCTGGGTGGTAACGGGCGACCTGCAGATGCATCTCTATAATGCACAAACAAATGTTGAGTTTGAGGCATTGCAGCTGTGCACGTTATGCAACACGTCAACGCCCGCACAGGACAGAGAAGATGGAAAGATGCTTCTTCTTCTGATTTGTGTGTGTGTGTGTGGGGGGGGGGGGGGACCCCTCCAACGATATCGCTCTTGATTTAAAAGAGCTCGTGATGTTTTAGGCATAAAAGCTGGATTCGGTCTTAGATCAGCTGAGCTGCCATCAACCTGAATTCTAAGACATGACGGAGCGACAGAGAGGGCAGATAAATCACTCACCCTCTAAGCGGATGTTAAAGCCAGCAGCAGGGCTGTTTTAAGAGACAAGAATTTAATTGGAACCTGATTCAGTGGCTTGAATGGAGCTTGATCAGGGCTCGGAGGACCAGCGTTAAATCCCACTGTGGAACAAGTGGGCGTGAAAACAGATCTGCGTCTATGTACACCTTTTAAAAAACGCTTCATCAACGGATGATTAAAAGCTGTTCTGTCTCCAAAAACTTTGTGACAGGAAGAGATGGCTGCAGCATACGTTTAATCGTGCTGAACGCCAAATTTATGTCCATCGCCTGCTGCAGAAAAGACAGCACGTCGCCTAGTGGACATGAGGTGGCCTCTACACCTTCTCTGTACACCTTTTACGAAACGCTCCATCAGCGGATGATTAAAGGCTGTTCTATCTCCGAAAACTATGTGACAGGAAGAGATGGCTGTAGCATACGTTTAATCGTGCTGAACGCCAAATTTATGTCCCTCAGCTGCTGCAAAAAGGACAGAACGCCGCCTAGCGGACATGAGGTGGCCTCTACATCTTGCGGGAGACCATCCTCTCTAAGCGGACCTGTTCAGCGGCCAGACCCACAGGTGCTGGCCTATTTCTGGGTAACTCCTGATCGCTCCTCCCGCCTGGAGGAGAGCATCCTCCCTCCACGGCAGTTTCCACGGGCGCCCCGATAACAGGCGTCGTAGAACTGGAACCATGGTGCGTTCACGCGCTCGGGAGCCACCAGGAGAGCTGTCAATCCCTCCTCCTGAACTCTGTTCAAAAACCGTAATATCAGAGGAGGTGGGGGGAATGCGTAAAGAAGCATTTTGGGCCATAGGCTATGAGCAAACACGTCCACCCCCAGCGGTGGTTCGTCTCGCGGGCTCAGTGAAGCCCATAGTTGACACTGAGCGTATCCTCATGTCACAAACAGGTCCACGGCCGCTTTGCCAAATTCCTGCCACGTCTGGGCCATCAGACCAAGGTGGAGAGTCCACTCCACGTGACGCGGACCGCCCCTGGGCATCACATCTGCCTCTTGTACAGAACACCGGGGATGTACACTGCTCTGATGGAGAACAGATTTTGGTGTGCCCACAGTACTTTTCTCGCAATGTGTAACATTTGGGCTGAGCACACACACCCCTGCCAGTTTATGTAAGCAGCAGTAACCTTGTTGTCTGTGTGAATCAAACCGTGTTGATTCTGCAGCACAGGAGCAAAGTGTTGAATCGCATTCAGAACCGTGCAAAATTCCAGAACGTTTATATGAGCTGTTGTGAGAAAGGCCACAGCGCCCCTACAACTCAAGATAGGCATGTCACCCCCCAACCTGACACCGGTGTGTCTGTGAAGACTGACACGTGTGATGTAGGTCTGCTGACGGGAGCTCCCTCCGACAGAACCAGGGAGTTTCCCAGTGTCGGAGGTCTGCTCTCACGGAGGAAGGAACAGTGATCGTCCGTCTCTTTTGCCTCACCAGATCCATGCGCTGACGAGCAAACCATCTCTGGAGGCGTCTCATGTGTAGTAAGTCCAGCGGGCCACTGTGTGAACTGACGACATCGTTCTTAACAGCTTTATAACGGAAAATATCTGTTATTACTCTGCCCGTTCTTACATGGCGGAGCTGGACTCTTAGAGAGTCGATTCTCGTCTATGATAAACGAATAAACGAGTTTAGCCCCACTCCCAGATAACAATCGTCTGGGCCGGGAGAATCGAACTTTTCCAATTTTATGGCGAAGCCCAGAATTAGCAGGTGTGACATCAACACCTGAGCCTGTGCCAACAAGTGAAGCGGTCTGCCCACGATCGCCTTGTTGAAAAACTGACAGGTCCACATCGGTCTCGTTCCTCCGGTCTGTTTGGAACCAGGAAGTAATGTGAGTAACAACCTGTGTTTTCCACTCCGTCGGGAAACCCCTGGACTTCTGCCTTTAGGGATGAGACCTGGTCTGGATGACAGGACCGTCTCTAAAAACTCCTCCGAACGGAGGGGGTCGGGCTGCAAGTTGCAACATGTAACCCCTGCTATCAGCTTTGGCCATCCATCCGTCTGGCGAGCAAGCTCGTAGCCACTCCGCGTAACGTCCATGGAGTGGGCGCGTGTTTAGGTGGTGCATCATGTTTTTACGGATGTCAGCCAATCCACCGCATCAACCGCTGTCATGAGCCGCGGGAGTGTGTTCCGCGTGACCCACAGGTGAAGCTTCCTCGAAGGGGCTCTGAGCGCGTCTGTATGCTGCGCTCGGGCTGCGGGTCCACATTCATGTCTATGTGGACCGGCGTGTGTTGAGGAGGTGTGTGAAAACTGTTGACGCCGTGGGAGCGCGCGTTTGACACCACTGCGGTGAGACGCGTGTCGTTCCTGCCGAGAGCGAGATTCGTTACTGGGCTCGTTCAGCGGTATCACGTTTCTGTTGACGTGAGCGGGCGAGCACTGATAAGCTGTGTGCGCGCCTTCATCAATGCAGCGCCGTATGGGTGAAGACTGCTCGCGTCGCGGGACTGCGCATTTGACACCGCTTCGTGAGGGGTATGCAGCTTGGACTGAAAACGAGTTATTCCACTGAACTCGTTGTGCGGACCACATTCACTTACGACTGTTATGTCATGCGGGCGTCTCGCCTTGTTTTGGAGCAACGGTGATTGAAAAACCCTTTTAAAGGCCACTGGCTCATTTGTGTGGAGGATGTGTGACGGAGCCGCTGTCAGGTCATCCGAGCTGACAGACTGGCTAAAATAGACACTTTCATCATAAAATGATGTTTTATTCCAAACACTCATGTCCTCTTCACACACATCCTCCACAAACCGCTCATTTTGAGTCAACTCCCCCTGAGCTCTGCGGTTTGTTGTCCTAGGGCGCCACCTGTTGGCGATCTCCGGGAAAAGCTGAACTTCCGGATGCTGGGGATGTCTGACGGGCGGGGCTGGCGTAGCAGAGCGGGGAGGCGTTGCGCGAATACCGACATTATGCTCTCCAGGAGGGAATGAGCAGCAGGGGACATGCCGACGTCGCCTGTCCCATAGGAAACATCCGATTCGCTCCGAGAGTCGGCGATAAGAGGAAAATTACAAGATGGCGTCGTCCAGCGTGTAGCGACCTGCCAATGAGAAATACTCCTCGGCGCTTACCTTGAAACAAGAC